ACAGGTTATATGAATTATGAATGATTTTGTTGTACAATTTGGGAATAATGATTTCATGATTTTGAAATACCGTATATCCTAGTAATTCATTGTACTTTTAGACAGTATACAGCCGAAGAGAATTTGTGAAATAAAATGATGTCATTTTATTCTGCAAGTTTCGTCTACCTTGTTTTATTCGGACTTATCAAGTGATATAAACTCATGGGATTTTCTTTTAGCAACCAAAAGTAGTCAAGTTCCTATCCGAAGTTATCTCCGACTCTACTCTCTTATAAGCTGTCACTTATTTTGTACAGCTCATAGCCTAGTACACAAAGGTACATCGGAATAAGTTGTAAACTTTTTATGTACATGTGGCTCGTTGTCTCAACCACTCAGCTTCTAGAAAATGTATCCAGTGCGGAAACCATACTTTATCTTTTTCAGCTTAGGCTACCGGTTAGTATCAAAAGCTGTCACACTTTAAGTGTGGCTCAGTGCCTAGTACACAAATGTGAACGAAGTTGAGTTCAAGTAATTACAAGAATAATGATAAATGAAGACTTTTGAGATAAACCGTTGTATGCAAATTTAGTTCGCAAATCTATCTAAATTTCGTTTGTTTGTTTTAAGCCGAGTCACTCTTTATTCATAATATGCTCATATATATATATATATATATATATATATATATATATATATATATATGGTTGGTGCTCTATTTGACCTACAAATTTCAGACCATCTGATCACCTCATTGGAGTAAATATTATAGTCTGGTAGTTGCTATGACAACATTCTGTCATTTTGTCCATCATTGTTTGTTTTGACGTTCTTTATTTGTTTATTTGTAGGTACACCGATAACATTTAGATGGATTAGTATTGTGTCTTTGCCATCATTTTTTGTCAAACTGTCATGGAGCAGTATTATTTATTGTTAGTCTCTTTATTTGATATAGACTCAACTGACGAAGTATTATACTTATCTGGTGTTTGTTTCAAAAAGTTATGATGAAGTTATGTAATCCTGTGAATACCAAGGGTTGGAGAACACCGAGTAATACCATATCCAACCTTAGTTACAAATCTTGTCTAGTTATAGTGTTGTTTATTGAATAAAATTTTCGGGGATAGTTTATCGTTTATTGCAGGGTGTTCACGTAACTTGAAGTTATGATCCTTTGGTGGTCATGAAAATTGAAACTAGTCTGTAGTTTATCTTTAAAAATTATGTTGTATCAAATGCTGTCAGCTACATTGTTCTATTGATCCTATTGGGTGGAAAGTTTAAGTCCATCAAACTTCATACGATGACTATGAGGTCAAGTTATGAGGTCAAATAGGTCAACCTAGGTCGCCGGCTATTAGGGAGTAAACAACTGGTTCACTTTACTTTTGCAAGATAAGTAGTCAAGTGTTCAGTAATTTCTATGCATGTGATTACACACTATCGCAAAATGATATTTGAAGGGTAGTTTGGGGTTTATGTGACAGACTTTAAAAACTGGTTTCGAAATGTTGAGTGACTTCATTCTGTTTGCATAAAAGTGTGGAATACATTAAGTGAAAAGGACTTCACATTTGCAGTAGATGTCATAGTTTTCTGACCTTTAGGGTTAATAATGAGGAAGTATCAGAAATAGAAAAAGCGATGCCTCAGAATTGTTTAGTGATATCTACTGTGTTCAAGGGATCTGTCAAATTCCTCTTCTTTATGTTCTGTATATTAACTAACCTGTCATTAACCTGAAAATCTGTCACGTTTTATCAGCACTGATATAGAAGTAAAACTTGTACATTGGAGTAGATTGTAACTCCATCTTACTTTGTTTATTCGATGCATCGCCCAGTGAAACAGCATCGTTTACTGGATATCACAACACTGTTATGAATATGCAGAATAAATTGTATCTAGAACGTTGTCCAGTAAATGATGTTGTTTCATCGTGTGTTACATCTAGTGAACATCCTAAGATAGAATTTATCTGCACCGAATTTGCTAATTTATTGGGTTTAAGCAATTATCCTATCATTAGCAGTTAGTCTTGTTAATTACCGTACGATTTAATGTGAAGGCTGGAGGTATGAAGTTTATCTATGGAAGGACTGAAGACTAATATTTATCGGTGGCTTTGGAAGTTGTAAAACATGGACTATCAGAGGCCAATCTGATGAACGAATGATAACGTATTCACTTCACTGGGAAATGTACTTTCTTGTGAACGAAGTAGGCCATGCGTTGTACCAACTGTTGCGACTAATAATATTAACTAGCAACTCAAATCTCGGCGTATACATTGAGTTTTTAGGCTGTTATCGACTAGTTCAATGTTAAGCGTCTAGACTAACGAACTTCAACTCTCATTGAGGAATTCCTAATCTCAGTTTTGTGTAGTTTGTGTTTGTGTCGCAGTAATGATTTAATGTACCGTTGTTGTATATGGTTGCATATGGATCATAACAATTAAATTCAACGTTCAAGCAAATATATATTTTACTAGCCTTTTGAGAGTGTTTTTATATGCCACCTGAATGAAATAATTGATCATAATTTGATTTATTTATGTGATATTATGTAGCAAGAAAGTCTGGCACCTTTTTCTTCTCTTTTATTTTGGACCCCTGAGCTAAGTGGGTTTGTCCCACTGAGTGATGATGTTTCCCCATGACTTGAGCCAAAAATCCTCCATTTTAAATGTTAGGGAGATCGAATCATAAAAAGGTGATGTTAGGTGTCATTCTTATTCCTTTTCCTTTGTTCACTTTGTTGAGCCAGATTAATCGGTTTCCGTTGGGATATGGTCATCCTTTTGTTGTTGCTTCAGTTTTTCAGTAGGTTTTATTATTGTTTTATTTGTTTTACGGAGGGTAGCAAGAGACTTAGTGTCCTAGGAAATGGTGCTGTGGTATTTAGTGTGATATATTGAATCCATGTCTCTTTGAAAACAATTCCACTCACTGAGAAGTAGTTACATCTACTTGAAAAGTCTTAACTATCAGGGAATGCGGATCTCAGATTCTACTGCTAGGTACTATCAATGAAACAACGTTATAAAACCCTCAGTGACGTCTAAGTGGTACATATGCTGAAAGAAATCAGTCACATAGACGTCACAAAAATACAGAGTTTTTGATTAGTCGATTTGATTTACTTTCAGTAATTGCTCTTAGTATTGAAAGTAAAGTATAACAATATTTATGAAAGTATCGTTAATATAAGTGTAAAACTTGAGCACTGTGGTAGAATGTAATTCCATTTTACAGTATTATTTATTTGATGATGTTTCTAGCATAAATTACTTTGATATGATTATGAGCAATAATTTATGCGCAAACCCTCATCAAGTGAATGATACTGTATTACTGTGTGCTATATCAAGTAAACATATCTAATATGGAATATTTATAGTATGCTTTTTAGAGAGATAAGCACTGATGTGTATCAGATTTTTCTCTTCCAATTTATACCATATCCCTTTTGGAAGACAAAACAGATACCACTGTACAATTTCATATTATATTTTGTCTGTTGTACATATGCTCGATCCATTTTACTGATTATACATTACATGAATTATTGTCGATCCTATCATAACAATCGCATTGACCATTGTTTCCTATTCACTTTTGTGCTTTGTTTTCCTGTGCTTATATGGAATGGATGTATGCGTGTGTAAACTAATTATTTATACTATATTCTTCTTTCTGGTAGTTCCCTTTATCTTGTGAATATCTCACTATGCATGAACAGAATGCAGACAAATATTAAAGCAGTTGGTTGGTATCCAGACTTGGGTTGAAGGGAATATGACACTTTTTGTTCGAATTCCCTAGATTGTCTTGTTTTTATGCTTTTCGAGATAAATCATCCACACGTACAGAAAAGCTTCAAACATGTTAAACTGATCCAGACTACTAGAAACCGTTGGAGGGAATTACATGTATTTTTTAATGACAGTTATTTTCTTTTCAAGAGGTAGTAATGTTAACTAATGAGTAAACTGATTGGTTTTTCTTACCACCTTTTTGATTTATTGAATTGAATGAATTCCCACTCTTTTGGCACACAAAATATCGTTAACATTTAGCCAACGAAATAGTATGTTTTCAAGAAATATGTTTTAACCTTTTGTAAGAATAGCTTGAATTTTTTCCGAAGTGGTTTCTGTTTTTTCTGTCTTTTTATGGGTTAGATTTTTTGCTTTAGATGAGTGGAAGAGGAAAGAAACGTGTAGTCAACATATTTTAGCCATTCATATTCTTTAAGTGTATATGTTGGTTTATCTACAACTGTTAGATAATTAGATTGTTTGTTTCTACATGTTCTTACTTCGATATCATAAGAACGTCTGTCACTGTTTGCATCATCATACACGGTTGTATTTGTTTGTACTTTTTGTCGACATTGCAAAAAGTAATCAACGGTTTTTAAATTCCAGTTATTGAGTTACTTGTTTTTGTCTGACTTTTTCCTACATAAACATATAAAATGATGGAAAAAGCAATTAAAAGAAATGTAAACCGATATAGAAATTCCACTGGGCAACTGTCGTATGATTATTTGTAATGTAGTACCTTGCCTCCCAGATGAATGATGGATACTTGAAAGGTAATTGTAAACACTGGGAGCTTGAAATAATTTATTATTGGATAAGAATTTGTAGCGATATAGTAGTCAATCCAGAGTTTGATTTACTTTCTGTGATTTTTGTTATGAATACATGAGTAGTCTAAGATGCTTATACTAATCTATTTCTCTACCTACTATTTTGGTTTTAATATTGCTGAAGCTCAATGAGCTCTTACGACCTTGTGATCTCTGTTACTGTGGTGTAATTTACTAGTGATATTGGATAATCCGACTGGCATTTTGATTTTCTTACTCTTAGAGATAGTAACAGAAGTAAACTAGCAAATCTCATGAGAAAAAAACACATTTAACCGATTAGTTGATACTTGTTAAAATTGTGTTCTAATGTTTTGATTAGCATATGCGTACATTTCTTCTCTTTTTAGCTTATCTGTCAAACTGTTACTCGCCTACATCAGGGGCTTATGCTGAAACTCATCAAGTTTCGTGTGCAATTCCAAACCAAAATATTCGCTTTCATGGGATCGGTTCTTGTATCGTTAATAATCAGGCAAATAGTTTCTATGAATTATCTCCATCGAACCAGATCAAACCATATCTATCTCCAAATGGTCAGAAATCTGAACATCTTCGTGAGTCTACATGCTTTTTGAGTGGGGTACATCGTCTTAGTCCATTGGGCCGTGCTTATCCAAACACGTCAGTCATCATCAATCCAGGACAGTTTGAATCACATATGCGTGTCAAAAATTGTCAGTCACTTACTGATGGTAGTGGGAATGCTGGAAGTAGCAGTAGCGTATTATCAGGTACAAGCGGTTTGGGGAGTACCGCCATTGGAAGTGGAAGTGCTAAATGTCCAGGATATCGGCATCCTAGTGAATCACAACATGGAGTGTAAGTATCTGCAATTTTATTTAAATTTATTTAACTCATTACGTAAAGGTATATTCGTCATCATATTTTTTCAAAAAAAACTAACTTATGATTACTTTATTGAAATGTACAGTTGTTGCTTTTATCTTATCATTTGTTTATTCCCTGAAGTAAACTGTTGTAAACTATTTCACCTTTTACTGTTACGTCATATTTTACTCTTTATCTTATTTCACTACGGCTTGAAAAATGGAGTGCCGTCAAATCCTGCATAGTCGCGTAGTGATTCAGTTTGTTCATTTTCTCAACAGCTCACGGGAAGTTAATTCAGAGAAAAATCTAAGTGTATTGTATTACTTAGCCAAAATAACTACTCAGTGGTTTGTTCTCGTGGTTACAAACCACCTTATAGTTCAATACGGCGAAATTGATTCTTAAGGCTAATTAGTGACTACGTTGGTAGCACCTTTAAGGTCCTAGGAAGATTTCGTGTTTCTCAGGTTAAATTAGTGCTCTTCAGGTTTGGTCTTAGCAAATCATTTTCATGTGATTTTTTTTAATTTGAAAATGCGGAGTTATCGAATTGAGTCTGTTAATTGGTAAGTACGCGTACTACAGCTGTTTCATGTAAGAGAAGAGTAGCTGTCGAATATTCACCTTTTTTAATTAGTTGCTTGTCCATTTAGACTTTCCGTCGAAACTGCCTTTTTTAAAATTGTACTTTGAGCTTCATTCATATATGCATCATGTTTCATCAACACATATTCCCGCCTCTTCAGTTTAATTAGCTTCTTTTCATACTTTTTCGATGATTTCTGTCTTTGTGAATAGTGTGGTAATGTGCTTGTGTTACTTCGAGCCATCTTAACTATGATCAGTATTCTACCTATCGCGTATATACTAATGTGATAGCGAAACTAAAGCAAAATGTACTTTTGGTCAGCTAAAAAAATTTTAGGAGCAAAACTAAAATAATTTTATAAAGAAGAAATCTAAACTTAATTGAATTTGTTTGACTGAACTATAAATGTTTAGCGTTAAGGTGGGTAAACCTGTTGATCGAAAGCTTAAATACACACGATATAGCAAACTTTTGAAGACTTAAAAACATTAAATGACGACTGTGACAGTTATTGACCAAATATTTTGAGTATTTAAAGTCAAGCGACTAGCAAGAATTTTATTAACCATTCTTACTCACCATCTCTTGATGTTTATGCACAGATAATGATGTCATTATTTGACTTTATCTCGGTGAAATGTTCACCTTACATTTCATATCGATGAAGTTAATCAAGAACATTTTGTAAATGTTACCAGTTTTGTGAACAACTTTCCTCCCCTAGTCTTTATCTGCAACACAGCGAGACTGATCAGGATTATATTGAAAATAAGATTGTTGCAATTAAGTTGTTGGAATCTAAATTTCTGCTGACAAACTTTTCACCACCAGTGCCACTTTCTTGTGTTATCTCCATACTTATAGGCATTACCATCATTATTTTATAAAACTTGATTTTATCCTATCATTATCTAGCCATTTCATCACATAATAAGTCAACGAAAATTTCAGTTCGACATTCACTTCGAAAGTGTGTTCGTTGTCTGTTGTAATGTCCAGTTAGTTATTGTTGTTTGTTGTTAGTTGAGCGTGAATTTTGTTTTCAGGTATCTGGAATATGAACTATAAATAAAACCGGAATTTGTATCATACATTAACTGATCTGTGGACGCTTTTTAAATCGATAATGCTATTTTCTATGACAAGGAGGATTAGTAGTAGTACACTGAATCAGTAGAATTTTGCTACCATCATTTTATCATATTGATTTTACACAAACACTTGCTCTGAAATTATCGTAGGGATGAGGAGTCATCTTTTCCCGTAAATCCTGTCTGGTTTTTTGAAGTGGGTTTTATCACCATTTTTTTCGGAATAAACGATATATACATAACCTGGTGTATTAAAAATTTTATATTCTGTTTTTAGTCAGCTTGTTTTTGCTTTTTATTTCACAAGAATTGAAAATTTCTATGGAGCGGTTTTCTACTTCGTTACATATTTGTCATCAATGATCTTTCATTATGTTTTTGTATGTTCAAGTATCTCTATGACAGTCAAGTATTTCATTTTCGATACATTTTGTAAATTTGTACTTTAATGAGTTGTTAGAACAAGGAAGATTGCAATGAATGCTTATATAGTTCGGTGAGTAACCTGGCATTGTTGTGTAGTTTAGTACTTTGTGTGGATTAATTAAGGTTTCATAGACGATGAACAGAATCGCTTGACACTTGGCCTTTACGATTGGCGTGTTTCTTATACAATCTACAGTATGGTAATGGAGATGAATACCGTAGTTGGTGCACGAAAGTGCCCCTTACTTCCGTCGATTTTATGTTCTCATTATCATTATTTACTATTATCAGTATAAGAGTAAATCCTGAGCACTATGAAGTGTGATTTCACGTTAGATTAGTTTGTTAGATGGAGAATAACTGTTAAATATGTATTATTTTTTCTTAGTTTGCCTTTCTAATCAATGTGGAAACATCTCTTACATTCTTAAGTATTGGACTTTTGAACTCTCCTTCCAGAGTTAAAACCATACTTTGCCTCCTTTTGTCTCAATAACTGTATATTGGCAACAACCCTCACAAATGTAGTTCATTGCCTAGTGTACAAACATGGATCAGGTTGGGTTGCAATATTTCTACTTTCTACACAACAAAAAAGTGTAGAAAGGTGGACTGAAATAAGTTTGTTAGAAAATGTCTATGTTTTATTATTTATTCTCGATGCTTATCCAGAAAGTTGTCTGATTTCGCCAGCAACAAAGTTGTTACGTTTTTGCTGATAAGTTATCCACTTCAAGGAATGATTTTTAACGACTATATATCATATCGGAGAGAATTCCAAACTGTTGTTATCTACCTATACAGTTTACAGATTCTCTATACAATAGTCGAAGGGTACATAGGTGTTGCTATTTCGCTGATATAGTTTAAATAATACACCAAACTACGTAAATCCGACTATCTAATCGTACTTTAATGTAGTGTATTGGACAATTTCGTGATGCCTAGTCAATTTTTACCGCATTATACCTAGCATCGTTAGTTAACGATTGGTATCTTGTTTTGAAGTGTTTTTTGTTTCATCCGTCAGCGTTTTTGAACCATCATTTGGTGTAATTCTGCATAAATAGTTTTTTTCTTTTTACTTTCACAGTAATGGACTTACTTCCGGTAGCGATTCATCGAACTGTTCAAACCTGCAAAGAAGCATGATGCATCGAAATAATATTACATCGTCGCCATTTTCTTCTCCATCAGAACAGCAAATCGTTCACTCCAATTCAAAGCCTTTATTGTTGTCATGCAATGCATCGTCGTCCTCTTCATCGACTTCAAAGCATGAAATTACTAAAGAAGTGGGGCATTTTTCTCGTCATCCAAATAATACTGATAATAATACTTCACTATCAAAATCCTTTCAGTATGCCATACCAGAAAATATTTTGTCTAACAACTGTATGCAGTTATCTTCGTCATTTAAATATAATGAACTTCCACAACGAAATCAGCAACAATCGAAGAATTCACTTGTTGTTTGTAATCCAGTTATCTCGGGTCTTACAAGTTCTCATGAACTCCCTGGGTTCTCATCACAACAACCTTTACCTAACACAACAGCATTAAATCATACTCATCATTTTTCAGAGTCTATTATTGATGGTGATTATGACAATAAGATTCATAAATCTTCACCATCATCAACCACAATGCTGGTATCGAGTCGTAGTTCAGATAAGCCAGCTACTGGTAATGGTAGACAAAGTAGAACTATTCGAACTTGATCATTTATATTGAATGGAATGTCTTGCAGATGTTTAATTCACACACTTTCTTTCTCCTATTAGTCTGTTAGTTAATTTACTACCTTATGTATATATACATCGATTTTCACTGGTTTTTCACTATGATAAGTTGCATTGTTTTCACTGACTTGTACTTCATTTAATTTCAGCTCGCATTATTTATTACACACGTATTTATCACGTACGTACAAACGAGACAGTGATATATATATATATATATATATATATATATATATATATATATATATATATATCAAGATCTCAGTGATCGCATCCGTTTAAAGATTTTTACTTAAAGGTAGAATGTATCCTTTTTCTCATTAGTGTAACTTTTTCACGTAATCTACTTTTTAATCACTTTTCATCTGACTATTCGATAAATGCTAACCATATACTAAGGTTTTTTACCGCTCATGAGTACTGGTTCCTTAGTCACGTTCCAATCTTGATACCTTCACTTATACTGTTACATCGAATTGCATTGTGTTGTATTGTTTTCTTGTAATTATGACCTAGTCTTGTCGCAGGCTTTCTTTCTTCTTGGTTTCCTTGTTCTTTTGTTTACTATGCCATTATGTTTACACAAGTATATGTATTTTCTCATCTGTATATCTTTAACCTCATTTTATGATGGTAAACACGTCTTTGTACCTATAGCTAGACAGTTTTATTTTCATTTTATCTTGAATTTGACACCTTTAATATAAAATTTAAATTGTCTTTGTGCGCGTGTGTGTTTTTATTTGGTCAGCTGTTGAAAACAAAGAACGTGGATTTGTTTGCAGCTTTGTTTTTTATCACTTGTTTTGCTCTCTTCATGTTTAAGTTTTTTTAGTATGATATACACGGCTTTATCGCTTTATGAGTTACAATCCCGTTGAACACTGGACAAATAAAACGGTATTACGTGCCTTTTATATTCCTAGCAGTCTTACGAAATGGAAATCGGTGATTTCATCCAAAAGGTGAAAATAGCTTCTGCCTTTTACTGAATTCACTAGTTTTTGTCTAATAATTTTGGAGATTTTATTACTCATTAGGATATCTTTAACAAGAAAGCAAGGCTTCCATCATTTGGTTTCATTTATTGTTTTACGGACAAAAGAGTACGAATAAGTACGCTTATTCATTCTTAAAAAAATAATGGAATAATTTATTCACTTGTCTACTAGTTCACTATTCAGAAAACAATTTAGACTACAGAAGCGTCAAAGAACTTTTATGAAGTAGTCGGGTCAAGCACACTAGATCAATGTTGCCACACTTCACATTAGGAGGCAAAGAACAGTTGGAGAGAAGAAGGCTGAAATCAAAGCATACAAAGGTGTGTGAGAGGAGAGGTAGTTTGAAAATGGAGGTTTTTTAAAATCCTGACGTCCAGAGGGTGAATATATCTGCGTCACTGTGACTGATTTTCAGCCATTTAACAAAGAGACCTCAACTATTAATTTTTAAAGCCTTGGGGATCCTAACCAGTTGGTCTTCGCCTTCCTACACGGCTTAGACCAGTGATCAGAGATTTCATGGACCGGTGGCAAGTTTTGCTCTGGCCACCTTTAGTCTTCTTCCAACCTAATCCAATTTCTGCTAGCATTACACATCGAGGTAGGTGGTGACTCGGTCTGCGTAACACAGCCCAAGCCACCTCAGACAATGAAAATGCATAGCCTCATTGATTGACTTGCCTTATACCCTTCGTCTGACCTCTACGTTGATCACATACTGATTTCACCATACGTGAGCAGTGCTACAAAGACACCTGTTGTCAAAAATCTGTAGCCGTTTCATATATTCTTTTCACGGCCACATCTCATGGCTATATAACGGGACAAAACGGATTACAGTGCAGTATCCTCATCCATTAATTGGAAGTCGTATATCTCACCAGTCGGCGTCACATATGACACTAGTTGGCAAATGCCAATGGAGCCTTTTGTATGCGAGCTAGGATTTCGTCAGCAACCAGCCTGTTCGTGCTCATGCAAATCCCCGAGCAAGTGAAATGACAGATACATTCCACCACTTTACTCTCTATCATTAAACTGGGAGTAGTTGCAAACCGGTGCTGGAGCATCATGTCACATTTGATAGGTGCGAGGCGCATCCTCGTATTTTTCCTCAAAGCGTCCAGAAGATCTTCCATTTTGTCGACGTCTTCACTTTTCAAGACAATGTCGTCTGTGTACTCCAAGTCAACTGCACGCCATTCAAGTATTTGGACAAACTCAGTGAAGTTAGATGTACCTGGGAGCTTCTTTATCTAAACTAAACAGGAATCGTGACGGCTTACACATCCCTGTCGGTCACTGCGGTTGTCTTCAGTTTATGTGATAACTGTGCATAAGCCCCTACATGGCTGCATAAGTTTGAGTAGAAAGATGTGATTTGTGTTATATACTTTCTCGCTACTCCTTTCACAGTCATAGTACCGCAACACTGCTTGGTCGATAGAGTTGAATGGTGCCTTCAGACGAAAACTATGGCACATTTCGGGACCAGTAAGTATGCCTGTGTTACATAACCTGTCTTATTGATGCACCGTCGTCCAGATTTGAAACCTACCTGGTTTTTTGAGTCTGATGTACTCGAACATCGGTTAGGCTTTGGATCCGAAGAACTTCGACACAATGTTAGTAGACGTGATTTCTCTGTTTGTCACAAGTAATTGCTACAAGAAATTAGACACATCGAGAATACCCTGCGTCTCAATAATTACCCACCAAAATATATAAATAAACTCATAGGAAATGGAAAGAAAAATATTAGCAGTGCTAGTCATAGTAATACAAATATCATTAATAATAACTCCACTACTAATGGTAATGATGGCGACAGGGTTAAGAGAGAATTCAAAGCTTCTACTATGTTACCATACAAGGAAGGCACCTCAAAAGCATTACAAAGAATTCTCAATAAGGCTGGGATTAAAGTGGCATTCAAACCAACAAACTCTCTTAGAAACAAGCTTTGTAGGTTAAAAGATCCTATCGATGCAATTAAACAAAATAATCTGGTTTACCAGATCCCTTGCAATGATTGTGAGGTCAAGTGCATAGGTCAAAGCAGTCAGTTCGAATGACAGAGCACAAACGCTTAGCTAAATCAAGATTAGTAGATCCTAATAAGATGAGAAATCTAGAGACAAGCAAATGATGACACCCAATCACACAGTAAGGTGACAGTGTTGAAAACTAACTTAGTTGGGTGGAGGGCGAGATTTATAACCGAATCTTTGTTTATCGAATCAACACCAAATACATGCTATCGGAATGATTCTGCACGTGTCCAAGATATGTGGAAAATTCTACTACCCTTGTCATCACAGAGAAGTAGAGAAAATTAGGAATATATAAAGTCTGTCTCGAAGTTGTGGAGTTACGTGATATGAATATGGACCATAAATTGTGTCCGAAACATTATCCAGTAAATGCTACTGTTTTACTATGTGATATTTCTTATAAACAGACTGAAATGGAATTACAATCAACCACAGTACCCAAGTTTTACTCTTATAAAAACTTAAATATTTCTATAGGTTATTCAGAAGAGTAATAATTTGAGCGGACAGTTGTTTTCAATAACATATTCTTCAGGCTCTACAATTATAAATCCATGAGAATAAGTGAAATACAATACCCGAAATAAGGCATGATGTACAATTTCACTATGTTGAGACAATCAGTGTTATGAGCGAATGGAGTTCAAATAGAATGGAATGGTGGAACTGTTATCAGTCTGGTGTGTTAGTTGTCTAGTGAAATCATTATTGCAGAGCAATTACGAAATGAGAAGACAAAATCTACAGATGACGATTCCTTAGAAATTGAAAACGTTTGTTTCCCGATACAAATTTAAAACAAGAAATAAGTGTGAAAAAGCTGAATTTAATGAATACATCAATTTCAGTAGTACTCGTCAGCTGGATACTCTACATACTTGATTATGTATACTGTTAGGCAATGGAAAAGAGCATACGTACATACATATATACCGTAGACTAAGATAGATTTAGGTGTAACAACATAGAAGTGAATAGTTTTTACAGGTCAAATGGTAATCCAGAGGATAGAAATGGATATTCAAAATTGAATGGGTTGGGGATAGGTTAAGTGAGTTTGGATAATAGAGGATTTCAGGTAGGAAAATAATTACAACAACAACGATAATGTTGACACAGGGGTGAGAACTGAGTCGACTGCGCGTCGATTACGTCATTGAAAACAAGATAGTTAATGGTACTTATGCAGACAATAAGAAAACAAGGTGTATGCTGAGATGAATGATAATGATAACATTGGTAATAGGAATAAAGTTAATTAGACGAAACAAGTCAGGGAAAGAAAACAAAACATGAGATAGGTGGTAATTAATAGCGAAGAGCAAATAAGGAAGATTCACTATGATTAGACATTGTTGTAATTATTACCATGTCTGATTCAGGCTGACTACCACTTCCTTCTGAATGCAGAGGTTTGGTTTGACAACTCTAGTCGCGCAGGCTTCTACATATCCAAGCAACTTCTTACTTTGCTGTCTACTGATAACCTTAAAGGACTTACAGGTATCAATATCATGTCCATAGTCCATTAGGTGCTTCTTTATGGAGCTCCTCGGGGTCTTCTTTTCGGCATGCTTCAACCATTTGGTTAGGTGCTCAATCATTCGGGTGGACAGACGCTTCTCCGTACGACCGATACATTTGCTTCCGAAAGTACATTCGAATTGATATACGCATTTAGATGTGTCGAGGATCGGAGCCCTGTCTTTTCCTGATTGCTGCAGTATCCTTCTGGTGGTGTTGAGAAGAACGAGTTTAGCTGCGTAGTAAGTTCTTCTGACAGACTTCACCAGTCTTCGTCTAACTACCTCTAGTACGTCGTCACCTTTGAATGGCAAGGTGACATAGGCTGGTTTCGTCTACACTGTTGGAGCTGTTGTCCTGCTCCCTACCCATTTTGCGTGCTTGTTGAAAAAGCTTTCTGGGTACCCATTCTTCACCAGCACGTTTTTCAAAGTCCTTATTTCGTAGTCTAGTGTGCTGTCGGAACAAATTTCCCTGGTTCTGTTACACAGCGTTCTAACTGCATTCACTTTGTATTGGATCGGAACAAAGCTCCTAAAATGAAGGTACTGTTCTGTTCATGAAGGTTTCCTATAGATGGACCTTTCTATAGATCCATCGATTCTTTTCACTAA